ATGAAACAGATCAGCAGCAACATGAAGCAGATCAGCAGCAACATGAAGCAGATCTTGTCCCAGGTCGTAAATTGTGTATCATTTTAAGTAAATGCTGTGAACTGCTCAAAAATAAAAAACGATTTGATCTAAAGAACTCAAAACACGACAGAACAAATAATTTTTGGGCTAATCTGTGTGAACGTTTTTAATCCTGTTCACACTCATTTTATTTGACAAAAACAAAACTAAAGATTATTGCCAAGTCCTAAATACTCCACAGATAACTACAACCTCAAATGAACAACACAGAAATGTTACAATTTGTTTAGTTATTTAAACCAAACTCAAAGATTGAGACTAAAGGAAACATCTGGTTTTACAGCTGGATGTGAAATTTTTCTAAAAGAACTTATTCAATTCAGACTGAAGCATAAATTTGTCTGACAAGTAAAAACTTGTCCCGTGACATCAGCAGCTGGGCCTCATGGAGGAGACAGGGACAGAGAGCAGAAGTCGTCTTTTAGCCACATTCATTCAACCTTTACTGATCCAGGTTAGTCCCATTGAGCCTCGAGGACTCATTCACAAGAGAGACCTGATGTCAACAAAGAATGATGACAACAATGGACAACAGCGACAACAATAGACAGTTATAAAAGAGGCATACAGTATAAACTGAATTGAAAACTGAATTTTAGACACAAACCAGGGAATCAGCCTGCAGTTCATGAGCGCACACACACACACACACACAACAAACACACACACAAACTCAGAGTGGCAGGTTGCACACGTTTCCCCCGCAGCACTACACCATGCTCCAGGAGGACGGTGCTATTCATTTACCTGTCAGGGGTCATAATGTTATGGCGGACCACAGCTGACAAAGGGTTGCTCCAAACTGCATTTTGTGATGAGACATTAAAACTGATTGATTTACTCTTTTACAGTTTTTATCTTCATTTAAATTAAATTAAATCACTGCAGCATAAAAAACAAGACGTTTACAGAACAACCCCCACCATCCCCCCCCCCCCCCCCATGTCGTATCCTGCAGCTGCTGCTGTTCATCCTCCTGAAGTCAACGCTGCTCAGTAGGGTTTCTTCTGCTCATGACACACACACACACACACACACACACACACACACACACAGTTTTTAAATTGCACTGATATTAGTGTTTAAGTAAGAATATATGTAATTTCTTCATCTCTTTACCTGTGAAAATGGTTTCCTTGCTGCAGAGAAAACAAAGAACAGTTCCTCTTAATAACTTAAATAATATTCAGTTTATTTATAAAGCACCAAGTCACAACAGAAGTCGTCTCAGGGAACTGAACAGAAACATTCATAAAAAAGCCATTTAATAAAATTCTCTAAGGAAGCAGCAGATTGTGTTGAAGCTTCACTTCATCACAGTCTCTCATCCTGAACAAGCACAAAGGAGACAGTGGAAAGAAAAACTCCCCTTGAACAGGAAGAAACCTCCAGCAGAACCAGCTCAGGATGAGAGGCCACCTGCTTCGACCAGCTGGGTATAACGATGATAATACTTACTACAGCATAATTATTATACGTAATTCTATTTTTCTAATATTCTATATTATCATACTTATTACAGCATAATGCTTGATGCAGCGTGTCGTTAGTGCAGTTCTGTCATGACATCGTTGTTATTATGTCAGTGATCTAAATATCTCCTGACCCACTGAGCACATGTTCATAAAACTTCAGAAATGCACATCTACAACTGATTTGAAGTCAACCTGGTTCAAAATGGCCACCACAGCCAGCTGACCTTAGAAAATACAAAACTGGCTGAACTTTAGTCAGTTTTACTGACAGTGTGCAAACATTTGTCTGTCTCTACACCTGTCTGTCTCTACCCCTGTCTGTCTCTACACCTGTCTGTCTCTACAACTGTCTGTCTCTACACCTGTCTGTCTCTACACCTGTCTGTCTCTACAACTGTCTGTCTCTACACCTGTCTGTCCCTACACCTGTCTGTCTCTACACAAGTCTGTCTCTACACAAGTCTGTCTCTACCCCTGTCTGTCTCTACCCCTGTCTGTCTCTACACCTGTCTGTCCCTACACCTGTCTGTCTCTACACCTGTCTGTCTCTACACCTTTCTGTCTCTACATCTGTCTGTCTCTACACATGTTCGTCTCACCTGTCTGTCTTTACATCTGTCTATCTCTACATCTGTCTGTCTCTACACCTGTCTGTCTCTACACCTGTCTGTCTCTACACCTGTCTGTCTCTACATCTGTCTGTTTCTACACCTGTCTGTCTCTACACCTGTCTGTCTCTACACCTGTCTGTCTACACACCAGTCTCTACATCTGTCCGTTTCTACAAACCGGATTCCAAAAAAGTTGGGACACTAAACAAATTGTGAATAAAAACTGAATGCAATGATGTGGAGATGGCAAATGTCAATATTTTATTCATAATATAACATAGATGACAGATCAAAAGTTTAATCTGAGTAAATGTAACATTTTAAAGGAAAAATATGTTGATTCAAAATTTCACAGTGTCAACAAATCCCAAAAAAGTTGGGACAAGTAGCAATAAGTGGCTGGAAAAAGGAAATTGAGCATATAACGAACAGCTGGAAGACCAATTAACACTAATTTTTTTTTTTTTTTTTTTAGCCTTTATTTATCCAGGTTAGTCTC